CCTACCCCTTGCAACAGGGTTGATTCTTTTCATATTTAAACTACCCCCTCAAAGCCATTAAAGAAAAGAAGGGCAAAACCCACTTGTTAATAAAAAGGATAAGTGCCAGAAATCCACCTCCTACTTTAAGTGGTTGCTTTAAAGCCAGACCTTCCTCAAAATGTTTTTATGACAAAATAGTTTAGCCTCATTTGTTACTGGCAGAAGAAGCAAGCCATCTTGTAATCTGCGACAGAATACCCATGTTACCTGGTTTAGGTCTAGGAAGAAAGAAATGGGCTTTCTTGAGGTTCTGCATATGTATGGCTGTATCACAAGGGTCTGGATCCTTCCCTTTTCCCATGCTCTTAGGCAATGGACGCCTCCTTTGCCTTGGCAGCATTTGGAGGGATTAAGAAGATAAACCTACCTTGTGGTGGGCAGCTGGAAGTGATGACAGCAGAAGGGACCTAGATTGGGAGATGGGAACAGAAGATCTAGGAGGAATTCTCTGATGCAGTGAAAATGGGAAGGCAAAGTCAGGAGGCAAGCTGGTGGCCAGAGGTTGAGCTGAGAAAAGTGAAGGAATTAAGACCAAAATGAAAGAGGCCAGAGGAACATGGGATCTAGCGGAACATGGGAGGGGAACAACTGAGATGACAGATTGAGAAAAGGGTAGCAGAGGTGAGAGAAAAGAACAACTGTTGATACCAGAGCACTGCTGAGAAGCAAAGATAAGCATGCAGGAAGGATGAAAAAGTTTTATGAAAAATGAGACAGAAGGCAAATCCTGCAAGTGAAAATATATTAGAGGAGAAAGGTCATGTCAAAATACAGTAGAACTATTTATTTTTGTGCCACTCTTATCTTGTGCATTCTTGAAGCTGCAATTTTGAATCTTAATATTTTTGTGCTCCCCAGCAGCTCAGGCTGCCTAGCAATGCCTGGCTGGCGTGTGCTGGCTCTGCTGCACAGAGCTCGCCGGCTGCCTAGCAACGGGCAGGGGGGTGCGATGGGGTCCCTGGACCAGGCTCAGGGATGCAGCCCTACCCCAAACACCCCTGCTCCTGCAGCAAGGCAGGAGGGAGCATCTCCAGTTGTTACAGTTGTGATGAAAACCTTAAAACTATTAATTGGAAAAAAGGGCATGTGTTGGTGCCCCTGAGAGCACAGGGAGCCTGACAAATTGTCTCTGAGAAGTGGGAACAGCCCCATTCATCTCTGCGGTACTCAGGCACCCTGTGATGATAACAGAAATATCAATATGGTTAATTATTCTGATTCTTAAGTAAGGCTTTGTGGGCTAGATCTAAACCACAGCAAAGCAAACCAACACAGCCATGTACCTTCTTAAGCAGCTACTTCTAATTTGGTGTAGGCAATACTAAAAAGGCAATTTTTGGTCCCAGAAAAAAACCTCATTACCGTTATATCATTAAGTATTCACATAGGATTGTCCCAGTACAGCCACGCTTGTGTAACTATATCACTGTAATCAACAAAAATTTTCTTACAAGAACCTGAGACTTGGCATTTGGCAGTAGAGCTGATGTGGCTGATCTGAACAAGGCCCTGTGTCCTCTGTGCTTCCAGCTGCCCCCTTGGATCCCTCATCCCCCTTTCTATCGCACTGCCAGAAGCGCTTGTGCAACTAAACAACCAAATTAGGAATTGATCCAGCTGAGAAACAGTCCAGCAAAAAATAATGAAATATTTTCCAGTCAACACTACCAAAGCAAGTACTGTTCCCAAGGGAAAACCAAAGACACATGTCAATCTGTGGCCTAGAAAAGGGAATAGACAGTTACAGAGCTATACAAAATACAGTGCTGGAGAAGTTGCTTCAATGCTGCTACTTTGATGCTGTTTTAAACAGGTGTGTTTAGGATATAGTCACACTTTTGTCTCCCAGTCAAAAATGGGCTATGTTCCAGAAGGACAGTATTGCCTCTGGAGATCATCATGCCCCTCTGAGGAGGAGCAAATCTCAGACAGTTGAGACACTGAGAGGTATATAAGCACATTTTACTCTGGGTGGGATCTCATTCAGGTGATCATTTGGGTGGAGCTTGAAGAACACCATTACATTTTTCCTCTACCAGTCCAGCTGCCCCAGCCAGGAGAATTTTCATTCCCAGCTCTCTTGCACACTTGAAGTATCTTGTGTAAGTTAGTTAACATTTCCTTCTAATTGGCATTTTATTGTCTGGAGCAATGGGAAAGTGTGATAATTAAAAAAAGACCCAAAACAGAATAAAATAGTTTCTAAAGAAAACCACAGTGAATGCAGTTCAGATGCACAGTAGTGTCTTCAGCAAATGTCAGCTCAAGTCCAAGGTTTATTGGCTCTGGCTCAGTGCTGGTTCTGCTAGGTTTGGCTAGCACTTGCATAGCTACCTGAAAGTCTGTGCTTTCTGGTGTTTTGGAATCACTCAATGTACACACCATGCACACTCATGGAGCCAGCTTGGGTCTATTGCATCTGAATCAATAAACCCTCCAAAAACCTCAGACATGAGGAACACACTGCAAAAACAGTCAGCGTCCCTATAGAGAGTAATTTTGAAAGCAGGAGGGCTAGCATGGGGTAGGAGCTAATAAGGCCTGCTGATCTAACTAATTAAGCATGTCTGCACCATGGATTCCCAGTGTGTCTTGCATTGCACGGCCCTCACAGCAGTACCGCTATGGTTGTATGGCACTGTTAAAAAGTCCTGCTGGAGTTAGCCTAGCTCAGCATGGAGCCAGTTTGGGTGTTTCTGCATCTACAACAGGTCAATCTGCCAGCATTGGGATAACTCTCGGCTGTGCCAGGAAGGCTGAAGGAAAGTCACAATGCAGATGTCACAAGGTGGCGCACTTTGACGCCGTCTTCCAAGGTCTTCTCGAGTGGCAAGCACATTTTGACATGGAGTTGGTAGGTTTTTTGGTTTGTGCAAGGCCTTCTGGGTCGAGGTCCGTGGGAGGGAAAGGGGCTGTAAGCCCCCCTGGAGCCTCTGCTCTACCGATTGAGGCTGGTGTGTTGGGAGCCAGCACTGCCCCACTCAGGTGCTGTCCTGCCATCTGCTTGTAGGACTAGGTTGCTGGCCAAACTGAAGCACCATACATTTAGGAAAACACGCACTACTCATTTCATTCATACTGAAAAAAGTTAACAGGCAGGGCCCCACACAAGGCCATCTCTTGGTACAGGGGCAGCAATATCGTTTTAAGAAGAGCCAACAACAGTTGTGCTACATTTGAGGACGTTAACAGCTTCCATGGAGCCAGTCTGTGATGTATAGGCACTTACAGACCCATGCAAGCCAATGCCTGTTAAGCAATTTGCAGCCAGACTGAACAGAGAAATCAAATTTGTCTTTGTATTATGATAACTGGAAACAAGAAGAAGCCAGTGCCCAAGATGGTTTCTGATCACACTTGCCCTGGGACCCATTAAAAGCTTGTCTATATCTCAATACTGCTGCAGATCAAATTTAATTATTTTATGTTAAAAGGGTGCTTGGAATCCAAAATAAAATGTTTTATTGGAAATTACATGCTGTCCTAAAAAGAGTTATTGAAGCCACTTTGGAAACAATTTTGCTAAGCTGCCAAGTGAATTAAACACCAGAAGATAGCAAAGTAGATGCATTTCTACACCACAGCAAGTGGTGTGAATGTACCTGCTCCTTCTGCTGTCCCAGACAGCACCCCAGTATCTCTCTCAGCACCTGCCTAGCTGTTCCCAGCTAGGGGGTGTTTTTTTGTAATTCCAGCTGCAGAGACATTCCCAGGCCCACTGGTTCTTCACAGGCTCCCTACCATTCATCCTCACTTCCACAGTTTTAGACCAAGATGCTGGACTTTGCTGACCTCAGAGGGGAAGGGAGATCTATTTTTCTTCCCTCCACTTTGATTTAGAGACAACAGCTGGTATACCAAAGGATCCTAACCAGAACAGTTTTCAGTGCTGCAAACAGAAGAAGATAGACTGCAGAGGACATGCAAAGTAGCACGATTATGCAAAAATGAGGCAGTCTGCTCTTACTATAATGTATTTGAGAATATTTTTTTCTGAAACATTCTGACTTTTCACCACTGTATGGGTTTCTCTGGGAAAACTACTAAACTGCAAGGACTAAGACCAGTTGTGTTTGTAACCGCATACACACAGCACACAAAGCCAAGGCATGAATAACAGGCCTTGGAGACAGCTTCTTCTGGGCCTGTTACTCATTGCAAAGGCAGGCTTGGACATCCCAGCATAGAAACCACCTGCTGTTATTGGCTTTTCTTCTGGTATGATCACAGAAACAGGATTTTGCTTAAAAAAAAAAACACATGCAAAAAAGATTATACCAAATAATCACCAGACCCTTATCTTCCACACCTTTGCAACAAGCAGAGGGGGCCCTGAACGATGATTAACAACTGAGGTGAAAGAGTGGCAGGAATAATGTGTTTACCTCAGCCAAATATTTAAGTTCGTCTTACAAAACCAAAAACGGAAAAATGCTAATTGTCTATTACTACTTCTGGGCAGTCCTTCAGAAAGATCTACACATCTTAGATTAAGTATTTCTCCCTCCCCCACGGGAGCAACCCCCTGGGAAGGGACTAATCGCCCCAAATTGTGATGTGCCTATCGTTTTACCAATTTTGTTGTCATCTTACACATTTCTAGCCTGACAGGAGGACAGATAACCAGGGCACTGCCTTCCTCCCAGACCCTTTTGGCTTCTCATGGAGAGGCGCAAACTTAGGGAGGCACTGGTGGGGCTGAGGCTTTTTTTGAGGGGGACGGGGTAAAAACACAAGCGCCTCTCCTCACCTCTAGGTGCCCAGAAAGCCGGTCGGACAGCCCTGCTGTTGCGCTCCCACCGCGGAGGCCGGGCCGGGCCGGGCCGGGCGGGGCGGTAACCGCCGATCACCGCCATCTCCCCGCCGCGGGCGGTGGCCATCAGCAGCGTCCCCTCCGCCTCTCACCGCGCATGCGCGCGGCGCGGCGCTGCCTACAACTCCCGGCTTCCTTTGCAAAGGGGGGTGGTGTGTTTTTTTTTCTTTTTCTTTTTTTCCTTTTTTTTTTTTTTTTTTTTTTCTCTCCCTCCCCTCGGAGGGGGAAGGATGGGTGGGGAAAGCGAGAGCTCACGAAAGCGAGGCGAGGAGGAATCCCACAATACCAGGCGGGTTGCGAGCTCGGCGCTGCTGCTGTCTCTTTAATGCAAGAGGAAGCGATGCGGAGGGGTGGAAAATGGCAGAGTTGCAGATGTTGCTAGAGGAGGAAATCCCTTCTGGCAAGCGGGCTCTCCTCGAGAGCTACCAGAACCTCACTCGGGTCGCCGACTACTGCGAAAACAACTACATCCAGGTGAGGGGCGGCGGGGCAGCGCACCGGGGCCGGCTGCGAGGCGGGGAGGCTCGGCCGGGCTCGGCTCTCCGGTGCGGCCGGCGGGGCCGGAGCCGCCTGGGAGGCAGCGCGGCGCCCGGCTGCCCCCGCCGCTGCTCCCCGCCCCACAGCCGTTCCCCCGGGTTTGCCTTTTCTTTCAACTTTTCCAGCTGAACGACCGGGCTTCCCTTCCCCCGCTCCGGAGTGGAAGGGAGGGGGTTGTTATGTCAGTCCGGCTCGGAGGGTGTGTCTTTTTTTTTTTTTTTTTTTTTTTTTTCTTCCTCCTTTTTTTTTCGCTCCTCTGTATTTATTTATTGTGAGTCACATCCCGGAGACCTCGACCTCCCTGGGCTGGAATGGGGTGGGGGGGTGAGCGGGGCTCCAGGGTCGGCGAGCCGCTCCGTGCGGCCGGCTCGAAGCCGGTATCTCAGGTTTCCCCGTGGCTTCCCGGCGGCGTGGCTCCCTCCGGGGGCAGCCGGCGGGCCACCGGGGGCGGCGGTTGGTGGCGGTTGCTGAGGCGGGCGGCCCCTCCACCGGAGTCGCGCCGGCAGCGCGGGGCCGCCATCCGCAGCGGCGCGGCGGGCGTGTGGGGGGCGGAAGGGGCCCCGCACACGAGTGACATCACGTAGTTCAGGCATCGGCGGGGAAGAAGCGATGGGGGGGGGGGGGGGGGGGATCCGCGGCGGGAACCGTGCGGCGGGTCCGCCTCGGCGTGCGGCTCCCGGTCAGGCCGAGGGAAGGCGGAGGGTTCCGCCTCGCCGCAGTGAGCGGCGTGTGGGGGCAGGACGCTGCCGGTGTGCGGGCACCGGGGTGCTGGTTCAAAATGGCAATCTGTGCCTCTCGCAGGCTTCGCGATTCAGACACCCCGCAACAATGATTTCAGACCGGGTCTCCGGTGCTGGAAGAGGCTGTAGCGTGTCTCCACCAGTCGGTGTGGATTTTTTTTCCCCTTAGAATGCCAGTGCTTCTTGGCCTTGCTTAAAGCTTATTTTTGTGAAGCTACTTTAAGCACAATTTACTACTTTTTCAGGATTTGCAGCACATAACTCTGTAAGTCTGTATATTTGGTCATACTGAGCGGATTACAGAACCATCCAGACGTGCTCAAATTCAACTTTTTTAACTAAAAAAATTGAAGGGGAAAAGCAAATAAACTCCACTTTACTTACTAGGTGGCTTGGGTGAACTTGTTGAATCTAATACTAGACTACCTGTGATGAGTATTTAATACAGGTTATTAAGTTCTGTGGCATGCATCATTGTTGGAAAGCCGTCTTAAAGTTTTTAGTAATGGAGCAGCAAATTTGAAATATAACTTGTAATAATATGAAGTGAATTTTTTTTAAGCGAGCTATTTGGATTAAAACTGCTCTAACTGCCATATTTTTAAGATTTTTTTTTTTTTGGCGATATGTGAGGTAATATGAGTTAATATCTATTTACTCTTCCGAGTTGTTTGCTCCACCCAAAGAAAGCTGCTGATATAAATGCTTCTAAGAGGCGAGGTTCATTTGGTTTTACTCATGGGAAATATGACAAATACATGAGCATGGTAATTGCAGCACAAGTTTTGACCTGTCTCCTGCTCCTGACTTTTTCCCTGTGTCAGAAAGTTACAGAGAATCTTCAGTTACATCATTTTCTTCAGAGTCCTAAAACTTGGCTTTTCTTTCTTCAACCAAACAAACCAAAAACCCCAACACTTGGGCTAGTTCCCATCCAGTCATTTGGGGTGGGTTTTCTTTTTTTTTTTTTTTTTATTTTTAATTTGGTAGCTTATTTTCACCTCAAGTATGAAGGTCAGCTGGATGTGGGATTGGTACAGTATGTTTTATCTGTGTACAGCTGTGTTTACCCCTTTTGAAAGGAAACTGGAGTTATGAAATTCCTAATATGGACTTGCACAGTAGCTTTGAAAAATGTGTACCTTACTTGTATTGTACATGCATTGTGCATTTACTCAGGAAAAAATGGCAAATATATTGATAAAATTACTTTTTTTTAATGTGTAGTGGAGGTGGGTTTTTTTAATCAGCACTTTATACGAAGCCATCTGCTCTCCAGTTGGACTACTGAACAGATTATACTTCCAGTGCCTGTGGTGGGGCCATTGCAGGATTAGGCAGTATGACACAGGGCACTGGGTTATGAGATTCGGGGGGGGTGTGTGTGTGTATTGTGGAATGAGAATGGAGGAAAGAAGAGGAAGAGGCTTAACCAACACATAATACAAAGTGTTTGTATTTAATGTAATTGAGCATTTTATAAAAAAGGCGAGACAGAACAGAGGACCTGTCCATGAAGTGAGTGTTAAAATAGTTTGGAAGTGGCTACACATAGTACTTATCCCATGGCACGAAACTGATTTAATCTGGCCTCTTTGAGTTTGGATAGCTTTGAATATGGGGAGTTTTCTCTGTTTCTGTGGGAAAGGATATGTGCTCCTTAGTAGGAAAACTTACTGTGTGCTGTCACCCACTCTGTGTTGTGGCACAGAGGTGAAACAAGTTTGTCTTTCTATTCTCAGTGCTGGTGCTAACAATTTATAGTAATGATAATAGCACTCAGATATTATTCAGAGCTCTTGATGTTCTCAGTCTTATGTTTTATATTCTTTGCTCACTTAAGCAGGAAAGTAATTTTCTGCCCCCAATATTGCTGTATTCAAACTATATTTGTATTTTTTGGATCAGAAAACATATGAATCTTGTTTTGTCTTTTTTGCTTGATCTGGGAATAATTCTGATGAAATTTCAGTTGTGCTGATTGTTTGAAGAGAATTTGTCTTCAATGTTTTAAGGGATTTCTTACAAAAAAGAGAGGGAGGAAATGGAGAAAAAAACTCACCTGGGTGCAATTTGGCTCCCTAATGGTAGATGTAGCTCTATTTGGCAGTAAGCATCCGTTTACTGAAGCAGTTATGAAATGACAGCATTCGGTATTCTCAAGTTAGAAATTGCTGTTCTTAAAAAAGTGGGAAGCAGTTTCTTGCTAAGACAAATTGTAAGTTGGGATGCCAGGCACTAACACAGTTTGCCCCCCAAACCATGTGTATTCTGGCTATCTAGAGGGTTTATCTGATAGGAAGGGAAAATAATTCAGGAAAAGCAGAGTAAGTAAGTTTTTTTAAAGAAGACCCACAGTGCTAAGAGGAAAGTACAGTATGGTGGCAGTCTTGGTGGGGGGATGGGAGAGAGGGGAGACAGAAAAAAAGGGAAAGGAAACTAAATGTAGAAGTGGTAATTGAAGGAAGTTGTGATATTGTTGGGGATTTTGGCTTTGACTAGAAGGAAAAAGGCATTATAAGTATGTTACTATATTTAATCTGTGAAAAGATTTAAAATCTGTTATATTTCTGGTTGGAAGCTTCAGTAACAAGAAGGTAGAAAATTCCTATTTTCTTTTAGATCAGAAACTTAAACTCTAAATGGTTTTAAGAGCAGGTTTAGAGCCATAAATCTTTATCTGAAAGAATGTTTTTGTCTCCTGAAGTAAGTTTTCTAAAATATAGAGAAATTACATTTTTCTTAATATTTTTAAAATGTTCTTGTCTAGCACACTTTCAAATACCGGTATGACTCTGATCTCTTATGATGGAAGTGTTTGCTTGTAAATTGGCATACCTTTATAATAATGTACAGTGAGATTAAGTAAGGGGAATGGAGGAGTGATGCTGTTTTATGATGGAAAGAAATTAAACTTATTTCTGTATAGCATATAAATGTAAGTTCCAGTACCTGATGCCTTCCCTGAATCCTTTTGCCTGCAAATAAAATCTGGGATTAGCCCCTTTCAGCGTATGTGTAAAATTACCTGAAAATCTGTAGCATAAACCTGAAGATACTAGTGAGGAATTTTATCAGTATCTTGAACAATATGAACTTTATCAGTACTAATACAGAAATAACGTATGGAGTAAAAGCACCTTACAGTTATAATTATGATTCTTCAGCTGAAAATACTAACTTGCATAGATTCTCCAGTCAGTTTCCTAGCTGAATTGAATTATTTTCAGTTTTTAATGAACTTATTTACCATAACTAGCTTATGAAATATTAGAATGACACAGGAAACCAGCATCTCCAGTGTTATTGCACTGATGACTTCTTTTTGAACAACTTCAGTTGACTGGTGTAGCACAGAGACACCTCTGTACTATAAAACACTGCTTGCAACTCTCCCCTACTGTCTAAATCAGATGTTTCTTATAGTCTTGTTTATGCATAGGCAGATACATAGTTTTCATCAGTCTCTTTACTTTTAGACTGCTTGGAAAAATCCATTTTTTAAGCTCAAATATGATTTTAATATGACACCGAGAACCTCTGAATAACTTGGAATATGTAGTACTTGTGTAAGTTCCAATCTTGATGGCCTCAAGTGGGAAGATTTAGCAGTTTTAGAAAATAAATTAAGTGAAAGACCTTTTAAGGAAGTAAGTCTGTGTTGCCTAAATGTGTGTTTTTTTGTTATGTTGTTTCCTTCTGTATCTTCCAGCTGGTATGTGGAAACCTAATGGTGAGTTAACAAGCTACTCTGGGTAAAATGGACAAAATCAGGGACAGATTTCTGTTTGCTATTAAAAAAAATGTAATGTCTCTTTCCAGTTGGTAGAAAATAAATGTGTGAGGTTGAGCAGAGGTGCTTCATGCAAGAAGTTTTACAAATCTTTGTTATCTTCCAGTATGCATATAGGAATCCTTTCTGTTCAATAGGTTGGATGTTCTGCACTTCCTATATGGTAGATAGTACGTATTGGAAAGGAAATAACTTTTTTCATGGTGTTTATTTTTCCGTAAATGTTGGTAACTGATCTGACACTCGATTTCATTGCCTGGTGTATGGAAAGTGGCTTAGCTTAGTTCAGTACAAAGAAGTTCACTCAGAATGTCTAATTCAGGAAATGACCTTCTTTAAAAGGATAAACTTCTTAAATTGTCACTAATACATATCTTTTGTGTGTGGTGAGAACTCATGCTTTT